CCCTTTGGGAGGGGCAGGGGCTGATGAAGGCAGAAGCAGCCCTCTAGAGGAGGAACCCCAGTCACTGGGTGTAAGGGAGCTGCTGCTTCTGCCTGACAAGCAAGAATTTCCTTTGGGCAAATTTGAAATTAGGACCATCTTGGGTCACGGGATACACGGTTGTCTTTCCAAGGCTTTGTATCCTGCCCTCTGTACAGCAGACCTTGTCTACCCAGGCCTGGGACTTCTCTCCCTAGTGTGGGCCCCTCCACTCCTCCAGACCCCCCTTGGCTCCATCCTCCTGCCTCCTGCCTTCCAGCGACTCTGCAGCTGGGTGTGTGCTTGTGGAGGGCTCTTGGATCTGGCTTTAATTGGTCTGACATTTTGCTAAACAAACAAATCAAAACTCAGACCAAACAAAGAGCCCTTATGGGTTTAATTGGCCATGGGTTCTGCCTTGGCCCAATCACTGGAGCCTTTACAAAGTGGAGGAGAGTCTTGGGGGATATAACAGAACCTGTCTAATCAGGTAACCTGCGGCACAAGAGGGCCTCTGAGTCCAGGGAGGCACATCCAGGGATGGCGACATCAAAACACAGCCAGCCCCTTGCACCCCAGACTGAGCAGCCTGGCTCTTTACCTGCCTCTCCATAAAACATTCTTTTTGAAGATGGTTTATTTATTTTTTCCTATCTGCCGGTTGGAGGAGGGATTGCTTTCTCCCCCTTTTGGTCATCTCTCTCTCTCTCTCTTTTTTTTTTTTTTCATTTTAAAAGGGAGATAAAAGGTAGCTGGATGTGGTATTTTCTTTCGTTAATTATATTTATTTTCAACCAAGTTCTGGGAGGAGGTCTGACATCCTGAAAGGACCATGCGCACTGCTAGAACCATAGATTGTTTGAGCTGGAAAGGACCTTGGGATCAGTTAGTGACCAGATTCTAGCGCAGGCCTCTTATTGTTCAGATGAGAACCCCGAGGCCCAGAGAAGGGAAGGGACGGCTCTTGAATACGTGGCTGGTGAGTCACGGAGCCAGGATCAGCATCTTCTGACTCTGGGTCTTTGCACTTCCTACCAAACCATGAGTGCACAGAGGCGAGTTCTGGTCTCAGCTGGGACTCTATCACCCATTGACCTTGATCCAGTGCTGTACCTTCTTTAGGAAGGAGCTCTTGCCTGCTGACCTCACAGGCCAGGCATAGGAAGAACTCTATAAACTATGATGCGCAGGCCTGCGACAGCGGCAAGGCTGGGCTATGAGCTCAGGTGATCGCAGGCTCAGCTCACACCAATACTCTGGGGGTCAGGGAGCCATCGGGGCCAGTTGGGCCTGGTTGGTTGCCAACAATGGTCACTGGAATTCTGACTCCCATCAGACCCCTGGGCTCCTGGAACTCTGGTTTGCTGCCTGGTGTCAAAAGTCAATGCTACGTAGAAAGAAAGTGTTTAGCTTCCAAAGTCCACGAGCACTCGAACTTTCATTTTCCCTGTCCATCCTCCCTTCAGTCTCCACCTGACGCCTAAGCTCCCAGCTCGCCAGATGACACTCGTGGACTGCCCTGCCTCCACATCCTTGCTGTGCTTTTTCCTCCGGGATGGAATGACATCTGTCGGTATTGGTTCCTGCCAGAATCCTTGTGTTCGTCAAGGCCCACTTAAGACTATTGCCTTTGTGGAGATCTTCTTGTCACTTCCTCATTCACCCCAAAGTTAAAATTGACTTCTCCTTCCCCGATTCTCTTCGTACACCTTGTTTGTAGCCTTGTAAGGTACTTGTCATTTTGTGCATGATAGTTGTTTGGGGTCTGTGTCTACCTCCTCCTCAAGATTCTAAATTCCCTGAAAACAGCAACTCTGTCTTACTCATCACTAGCTATTCAGCCTCTAAAACAAATGATTACTATCAATTATTGCATGATATTGGGTGCCACATATTGTATTAATTGCTATAAGTGCATGTCTCATTTAAACCTTTCTGATGAGTAAAAGGTATTCTAATCCCAAACTTATCGAGGAGGAATTTGGGGCTTGCAGAGATCACCATCCAAGACTTCACAGCTATCAAGTGGCAGAGCTGGGATTTGAACCCAGGCCTGTCCGGTTCTAAAGTCTATGTTCTTAGTCATGGAGTTTAGTCGACCTATTTAGTGAGTGCTCAGTGAAGATCTACTGAGTTATCATTGGAAACCATAGGGGTCAATGGTGTAAACACTCCCCAAGAGAAGCCAACCACAAATGTCCGGTTTGACACTTGGATGCTTTTTATGATGTATGTCCCTTTGATGTCTTTACTTCCTTTTTTCTGTTTGGCTAAAGTAGGGGTTAGGGTCAGTTTGCCTTCTGAGAGTTCACAAAAGTATGAGGTCTGACAGGGTGGCGCCATCTTGGGTCAACATTTCCGGGAGTGTGCATTGATGCAAGCCTTGAAATTGGCTTTGAGGTCTGGAAATGGCAGGTCTTCCTGTGGCCAGCTCTGCAAGTGGGTGAGGGGAGCGTTGTTGGTGAGTGTTTGAGATGGATTAAGGGATGGCTAGGAATGGCGCGCCTCCAGCAGTCTGATGGGTGACGCACGCACCCGGGTCCTGAAGGTTCTTCCCCACCTTCCTGTGCCCTTCCAACTGAAGTCAGAGTGGGGAAATGGGAGAAGGCCGAGGGTGAATGAAGGCGGAAAGGGCAGAGCAGCAATGGGGGGTGGGGGGACGTGCAAGGGGAGCAGCCGGGGGTCGGTTACTAGAGCAGTATGTCTATGTAAATACATCAGGAGGCAGAGGGGAAGAAGCTCCCAAAGAAAACTGGGAGCCCCCATGCCCCACCCCAGTGCCCACTCCCACCTCCTGTCCACCGTCATGGGAGCTTCTTCTGGCTGCTGGATACTGTGTAGCCTGATTCGGGCGGCTGCAGAAGGGCCGTCAGACCCTCCGACCCCAGAGAGAGGCCGTGCCATGCTCAGCCCTTCCGTTCCGGCTGCCCTCGGGCCTCCAATGCCCCTGGCCCTGCTCCTCCTGTCCTGCTGCCATTCGGGGGGGTGGCACGGGGCCCCTAGCCTGGCTGGGCAGGTCACCGGGGAGCATGGGGCTGGAATGCAAGGGGGCGTTTGCCCCAAAATGTGTCAGGAAAAGGCCATCTAAGGAGCACACACGTGTGAGGCGGCGTGAGAGAGCTCAGCTGGAAGACAGCCCGGGGCTGAGGGTGGTGGCTGGGTGGAGGCCCTGTGAGGAGGTGCTGAGAGACACCGAGTCCCAGGCGCCGGGGAGGGGGGTGCGGTGAGCGGGAGAATAGGACCCGAGGTGTTCGTGAGACGGAGCAGATGTGAGAAAGGCGTGTGCGCGTGTGCCTTGCTGTGGAAGGAAGCAAAGGAGAGTGACAAGGTGGCTGAAAATAGGACGAGGGCGAGGGGAGGAAGGAACGAGGTCCAGATTCTGCCCACAGGTGATGGGGGTGGCAAGAAGCTCTTCAGGAAGAGTGGGCCAGGCGTTGACACCACCGTGGGGGTGTGTGTGTGTGTGTGTTGCACACGCTCACAAGGCTGCCCTGAATTTACAAAATGGGCTTCCTCTGAGTGTCTCTGGGTGCTGTGTGGCCACTGCTGGGCGGACAGCACAGGAAAAATGCAGGGCCCGAGAGGTGACGTGACTTGCCCCGGGTCCCTCCAGGACATCAGGGACAGCCTGCTGGGAACTGAGGCTCCTCACAGAGCCCACCTCCTGACCCCCGGATTACCCATCGCCCATGTCCCCCCCCCCCATCCCACAAACCGGGTGCCACAAAGCCACAGCCACGCTTGTGTGGTGGAATCCCCTAGCTTCGAGGAGAAAGAGCAAAGAACAAAAAGGAAAAAAAAAAGCCTAAGGGTTTGGGCTCATCCCTGCTGCTGACAGTGGGGAGGTAAGGATCAAATTCCAGGGATGGTTCCACGAGGGGCCTGCTATTCCTCTCACCTCACGCAGGCAGAATTAGCGAAGTTCTCCCCGGCTGAGGGATGTAGATTGATTGCCTGGTTTTATTAAGGACAAAGTGCTTTTTGATAGTGTGAGGGAAGCAGCTCCCCAGGGTGGGGATTCCGGCGCCTGGAGCTCCCCGAGCATCGATCGCCGGGGCTTCCCTGTCTCGTGCTGAGCTGAACGCGGGCTTTGGCGAGCGATAAAGAAGCTCTGATTCTTCGAGGAGGGACCCCACACCGGGCACTGCCCTCGGCGGTCATTCCCACACCGACCCTGCAGGGACTGATGGTACCAGTAGCAAAACTGGTAAGCCTCTGATGGCTGACTGGGTGCCAGTTACCACAATGGCCGCTTTCTACATATTATCGGACTCACTCTTGACACAGAACAGAGCAGGTAAGGCTCTATTATGACTTTCATTTTCTCTGTCGGGGAAATGAGGTATGTACGGCGAGGCCAAGCAAACTCATCAAGGTCACAATAATTACAACATGGTGCCCAGATTCCCACTTGGCTAACACACAGGCTCTCACCACTGTCCTGCATGGCCCATGGTCCGTTTCTGGACACAGGGTCAGATGGGCACGATTTCCCGGGGGGCCCATTATACAGACCCCAGGACTCTAAAGGGATAGGCTTATCTGGCAGGAATATCTGCGTGTGACTCAAGAGAATTCAGGGATATTCTGGGCTTCTGAGGCCATGAGGCCAGCTCTGTGTCTGGGATTTAGAAGCCACAGACTGAGCACTGAGTGATGAGGTTCGTTGTTCTTTTAGCTTTCCTAAAATATCTCCCCCTTTCCCGTGATCAGTTCCTGTGTTACTCAAGCAGTGTGGTGGGGAGGGTGGGCTGGCAACGAACCTCCAGCACAGGGAAGAAGCTGGAGCCTAGACAGGTGAGGTGACTTGGCCAAGGTCACGGGGGTCTGAGTCCCCCACCTGAGGGTCCCGAGTGCACCTCTGACCAGGAGCCCTCCCTGCTTCCCACTCACTGATAGGACAGTGGCCGCTGCGTGAGTGTGGAGACGGGCCCTGGCCTATGGTCGGAGGGCTAGGGGTGCCGCGTGCGGGCAGGACTCACTCTTGACGGTGAGGAACATGGACTTGCTGATGTCGGTGCCCACGCCGTTGCTGGCCTGGCAGAGGTAGTAGCCCATGTCCTCTTCCAGGACGTGGCGGATCAGCAGCGAGCTGTTGGCCAGGATCTGGGTGCGGCCGGTGAGGGGTACCGGATGGTACTGCTGTGGGCTCCCGCTCCCTGGAAGGAGGCGGCCGTTAGGGGGCCGGCGCCCAGGCTAGCACGCGAGCTGGGTCAGGTGGGACTGCTCCAAGGGACGCCCTGATGGCCTTCTCTTGCTGATCTAGGGCTATCTTGTAGCACTCCCAAAGTACTCCTCTGGGCGACCAGAAGAGCCTCACAGAGGTCTGGCCCTGCCCCAGCTCTCAGGTGAGGGGCTGGAGTTGGGGACCTCAGCTCAAAGCCCGCCTTGGCACTGAGCCTCAGGGCTGAACTTGGAGACGAAGAGTTGTCTTCAGGCCACTTGGCCACAGGCAAAGGCAAGATGGAACCCTAAAATGACAGCTGCCTGGTCCTGGACAGCCAGGCCTGGGAAAGAGGCCAGCCATCCTCCAAGGGGGCTTTGTGGTCCCCTCCCCATTCCCCCAGTGTCAGTGATGGGCATGGCTTTATGACAAGAGCTTGGCATGGGACTTAGATACCAAACATATCCTTGGGATGCTGTTAGGCTCCAAGAAGGACCACAATCCCAGAATAGGTTGATTGGTGATGAGCAGGGGCCAAGGAGGTTCTGGAACCCCAAGCGGGGTGGGGAGGGCTGGGGAAAACAGATATACACTGAGTTCTAGGGCTGGACGGGGGAGGGGAGAGGTCAATCTGTGGGGTCTAGAGGAAATCTGGAGTCAGCATGATAGCTGTCCCCAGTCGGCAGACCCCTGAGGGTGGCTGAGAACAATCTCCAGAGCGAGTACAGTCCGGGGTCCCCTGAAAGCTTAGAACCGAGGGCTCCCACCCAGGGCTAGGAGTTGTGTGTAGGAAAACAGGCCCAAGCCCCATCAGCTTCCTTCTCCCCACTCCCTGACCGTGCTCGGAGATGCTGGCTGGCCAGGGGCTCACCCTTGGCATGCTTCCACATGACCTTGGGCGGGGGGTAGCCATCCACTGAGCAGTTGAGCACGCCAGCTTTGCCGTAGATGCCGTCCTGGTTGTTGGGCTGCACCACAAATCGCGGGGGCACTGCGGGAAGAGGGAAGGTAGGGAGAAACCGATCATCTGTCTCGAACAGCTCTTCTGTGGTCTCTAACCTTCCATTCTGTGCCAGCCCCGCCTGGACCATGATCAAGTTCGGAAGAGGCAGCTGTGAAACTCAAGATGCTGAGGGCCTTTGCTGAGGACTGGGAGTCCCGCGTCCCAGCTCTGAGTCTGCCGATGGCTAACCGAACAGGGCTCTTTCCCTCTCAGGGCCTCTGTGTCCGGGCCCGGAAAGTAAGAGATTTGAACTTCTTGATCTTATTTAAGGCCCCCGCCGGAGCCAACATTCCCGCAGCCTGCGACTCAAACCCCAAGTCTAGAGAGGCTGTTAGCAGCAGACAGAGCTGGGCCCTCGCTCGCCCGCCCCGGCCCCTCTGCTCACCACGCACGATGAGCTGGCGCTCCCGGCTCACGGTGGCCGCCGCGTTGCTGGCGATGCACGTGTAATTGCCGTTGTGCTTGAGGGAGACGCTGGAGATCTGCAGGGAGCTCATGAATTCCTTGCTCTCGATGGTCACGCCCGAGCCTGAGATGATCACCTGTCCGTCCTTCCTCCAGGTGATGCGGATGGGCATGTCCCCCGAGGACACCACGCAGGGGATATAGAGCAGTTGGCCGATGGAGGCGGGTGGGAACTCAAAGGGCTGGATTAGAGGGGGCACTGGGAAGGCAAGGGGAGTGCTGTTGTCAGGCCCCCCATGCGCCCCAGCCTGGCCAGCAGCAACTGCCTCATTGCCTCACCTCCCGGCCCCTCCTGCCCCTGGGGGTGTAAGTAGAGTTCCCCAGGGCACCAGTGCCTTGTCCTATACATGCAGAATGTCTTGGGGTGCCACTGGCCCTTAGCTCTCATCCCCTTGCCCACCCAGGCCTGGACCCACTGTCTCTGTGTAGGGCGTTGGCTCGCCTGCCTTAATCCTGCCCCTCAGATTTGTCCCGGTGATGATGTATGTGCTTCTTGATTCCCATCTGCCTGCAGACACTGCTTGGCGTTCGCCCCGCTCCCCTGCTGCTTCTCGATGGCCCCATGTCACTTTCTCATCACAAAGATACATCAGCTCTCTGGGGCCTCGGATTGACAGGGCTGCTGGGCCCCAGATGTTGGGCGTGGGGGAGAAGGTGGGCCTGAGACTGTCCCCAGCTCATGCCCCACAGCTCTGCCTCTAAAAGCCAGAATGCTGTCCCCTGGTCTCCTCCTGCAGTGGTCCCATCACCCACACCAGCCCTGTCCATTGTCATCAAGTGTTAGCACACTGAATCTCCTCCCCCCAATAATGTGATGTAGCTTAACCGTCTCCAGTTGAGGCTCAGAATGGAGAAGTCACTTGCCCTCGGTCATCTAGCTCCTAAGAGGTGACAGTGGGATTAGAGACCTGGTGTCCCTGCTCTCAGGGTCCTCGCTGCCCAGGTGCCTCTCTGAGAAAGCCCCAGACATGCCCAGCCCAATGGCTCTTTTGTCTCATCAGTGAGCTCCCCTTGGGTAGCAGGGTGGAGCAGAGAGGGGGCCCTGTCCTTTATGAGACAACCAGTTTGCCAGCCTCCCTCCACCCAGAGATCCAGCGTGCCTCACAGTCCACATCTTGGTCCCTGGGGGGCTTGTCTGGAGCCTGAGCCTCTGTGAGAGGGATCCTCCTTTCTCAGTTCTGGCTAGGGCATCAGCCATTATCTTTATGATAACTCAATTAGGCCACAGCGACTTCCCCAGCAAGTGGGGGGAGAAGAGAGAGAAGGAGACAGACAATTAGCTTAACAAGGATGAGCACCCAGTAGATGAGATCTCCTTTCTGCAATCAAATAATTAAATTACAAGGCTGTCCACAGTCCTCTGGCCTTCTCCCAGGCTCCAGCATCCCGCCCCCCCTGGGAAGCCTGCCGCTTTCCACCCTAGGCCCACCCACAGTGGCCACCAGCAGAGGTGAGCCCTGGGGGGAGAGGATGGTGGCATCCTATGCATGCCCAAGGCCCTCTCTGCACCCCAAGGATTTTCGGGGCTCAGCAGGGAGCTTCCCCAGCGGAGTGGTAGGGTGTGGGCATAGAATAACCCACTGGCAGCCCTTTGGATCCCTCGGAAAGTTCTTGATCAAGAGCCTAGGTCCAGAGGAAGTGACATTTAGGAGGGATGGGATGAGAGCCATACCCTTCAGCAGGGTGTTTAACTGACCTTCCCAGTGTCCTCTCCCACCTTACTCTCCATCCTGCCACAGGGGCTCCATCAATGTACCACGACCACCCAACGCTCCAAGTCTTAGCCCGTGTCTTGGTGAACACAGCTGGGCATTTGTCCTTCCTATTCCCATCATGTGTGCTCCACCAAGGGCCCAAATCTAGGTCCAAAGTCCAGCCAGGTTTTCTGGGGCTCTGGTCATTATCTGGATCTCCCCATCCCTATCTCTGGCTGCCTATTGCCCGGGTTAGGGCCTTGCCCCAGTATTGTGGGTGGTTTGCTGGGCCTTGGGGATCTCCATATGAGATTTCTCTGGAACCCTGACTCTAGTGATGGCCCCATGCCTATTGTTGAGATTTCCCAGAGGTCCCTCTGTTGGGCTCTGCCGATCTCCCACCCCGCCCCTGGCTTGTTTGGATGGGACCAAGGCTTCCGGCCTCCTTGGACTTTTTGAGGGAACTGTTGCAGAGACCCAGACCTGCCTCTAGTTTGTTTCTCTAGGCCAAACAGAACCAGGCCTGATCCAGTTCTCCTTCCCACAGAGGCCCAAAGCTAGAGCCCGCAGGCCCCATGGGAAATGCCTCTTTGTCCACTCAGAGCCTGCTCCCGTATTACCTCTTCCGTGAGGCCTGCCCTTGTCCCACCACACCTGTGCACACCTTCATCATGGCACCGATCACAGGGCAGGAGGGTGGCCGTTTGCATTACCGCCTTCCACAGGAGTCTGGGAGCTCCTTTAGGGCAGTAACTAGGACTTATTTACCTGGCAAATTGCAGGAGCCCAATAAATGCCTGGCGGGTGAGTCAATGAATGAACGTATGCTCAGATATTATTTCCTGGATTGACTTAGAAGTTTAACGGTCACGGGGGCAAGGGGTAGGGAGAGCACAGGATGGAGGTCCATCCAGAAAAAGAGGGGGATTTCTATGCTGTTCCTCAAGACGCTGTATTTATGCTATGGAGTTTTGGAGCCAGGAGCTTATCCCTTGGTCCTTCCTGGGGGTCAGGCCCTTGCTACCATGGCCCCAGAACCAGCTCCTCTGCACACTTGAATGTGACCAAGGGGAGACTCAAGGCAGTGACAGGCTGCAGAGGAGGATGTGTGGGCAAAGCAAGGAGCTGGGAGGTTCTACCAAGGAGGAGAGGACTGAGGGGCTGTCAAGGCCGAAGGACCATGCCCTGGGGGTGGATGGTCAAGCGCTATGCTTCCTCTGTGAACGGAGCAAGTGGAGAGCAAAAGACTGAAATTAGGCAGGGAGATTTAGCTCAAGCAAGGGGAAGACTGTCTTTCTCAGTAAGAAGGGATTTGGATAATGGAACAAGTTACTAAGGCAGGTTAATTCATTAATTAACTAATTCATCTAATATTTATGAAATGCCTAGTCTGCGAAGGCATTATTATGCTCCGTGTGGGCTGGAGAAAGTAGAAACATGCTTAAAATACAGATAGAACCCCCAGGAGCTCATCATTTGCTAGGGAAGGCAAGATATTTCCCTCAATGATTATTGGACAAGTGCCACCTGAATATACAGATGCTGAACTCTGAGCCGAGAGACGTATCATCTGACTGGGTGACCGCAGCCTCCCAGAGGAGGTGGCATTTGGGCAGAGAGCTAAAGGACACAAACGCTGTAAAAAGTGCATGGGGTGAGAGAGAGGGAAAAGGCTGAGCCATGAGGCAGAGGCCAACCAGGGGCTGTCCCTCCCTTATGGCCTCCGGGAATAACATGGATGGCTCCTGAGAGCCCACTGGAGACAGTAACCAACCAGTATCCATCTGGGGGGTAGGCATTCACCTGGGCTGGCCAGAACACTTGAGAGCACAATTGTCCTGTGGGAGGCAGACGACCAGACAACTTGCCAGAGATCCAGGGCAGGCTCCTGGCCCCCCTCCACCCTTTGCCCCTGCTGCAGGCTGACAAGGCGGGGTGATGCTGTGGTTGATAAGTGTCCCCTTGGGAACCCTTTGGTGGGAGTGCTAGGGGCCAGAGCCGCTCACAGAATTTCTTGGCTCCAGGCTTCTGTTCAGATACCCCCATAACTGCAGGCATAGAAGGAGGGAGAAGAAAGTCTAGGGATCCCGGCTCCTTCACAGGCTCGCTGAACAGCGGGAGGAGCCCCGTGAGCGAAAGGCTCTGAGAAGCAGGGTGTGGGGGCTCAGTGATGGGTGCATGGCCAGCTGCCCAGATGTGGGGGTGCTTTCTGACCCGTGAGTCAGTAATGTCTTCCCCAACGCTCAGACGTAGATGTGAGCTAATTGAATGTGTGTCGGTCCATTTCTGCCTCTGGGAAAGCGATCCTCAGCAGTTGGGTTCTGACCACCTCTATTGCAGTGACGACCAGGGACCTCTTGAGTGTCAACTGCACGAAGGGCCCCCTCTTGCCTCCGAGTCCCAGCATTTCCCCAATGCCCAGCCTGAATGTAGGGGGCACAGATGCCATGGGACCCATGGTCCTGTCTCTGGACGCCCTGCTCTGGCCACAGTCATCCTAGGGGAGAGGGCAACTCCGCACTGAAGGAGGTGGGGTCAGAGCAAGGTCCTACTATGGTGAAGAGGCCAGAGGACGGAGTGGCTGGGGACATACCGTAGTTGTGGCAGTCCAGGAGGTCTCCGGCCACCATAAAGCCTTTATGGCCACCTGCTTGGGAGTGTCGTGCAGACGACAGTGTGCTGACAGCCAGCCCAGACCATAAACTCTTTATGGTGTCTCTCATCATCTGTCTCTGAGACTGAGCCTTTTTATTTACTGCACCTGTTTAGCAGAGAGCGGGCACCGGGGGGAGTTGGGGCATCTGCCTGTGGAGCATGGGGATGGGGAGAGAGCCGTGCCCAGGAGCTGGGTTCTAGCCTCGGCCTCCTGTGCCAGCACCCTGCTTCCGCCCTGAGCCTCCGTTTCCTCATCTGAAAAATGGAGGAGTTGGACCAAGTAATCTCTAAAGTCTCTAATATTTTAGGAATAATAATAACAACTTCCTTTGGTGTCCTTTTTTTTTTTTTTTTTTTACACAATCCTCTCTTCTCAGAAAGGCCTTCCCTGACCACCTTATTTAAAATCGCAAACCACTCTCCACTCCTCTTGATGCTCTCATCCCCGCTCCCTCTTTGACATGGGGCATCTTTTATATATTTTATGCATTATCCATTTGCCGCCCCCCCAGAATGGAAGCTCCTTGAGGGTAGAGATTTTTGTCTTGAGCGTAGCTGCATTTGTAGGCTAGTGCCCAGAACACAGAGGGTGCACAGTAAATGTCACTGAATCAGTAGGCGCTGCTTCTACACCATCGTCCCCATCATCACCATGACCAGGGTCATCATGTGAGCCCTGTCTGTGCACCGAAGCGGCTGTTGGCTCCTGTGTGCCAGGGCCCCTCTGCTGGGGAATAGGGCTGCCGGCAGGAGCTTTCCTGGTGCCCCCCTCTCCCAAGTACAACTGGGCACTCTGCTCCTATGGAACCCATTGTATCCCCTTCCTGTGGGTTCTGGCGCATCTCTTCCAAACCTCCACATCTGCGGATAGCAGGCATTTGGCCAGGTGATTAGGTTTTTCGTAAGCCCCAACCTATGATCACAGAAACCCCCAACCCATTTACTAGGGTGGGAGGGGCGCTTCTCCAATGGCTCCACGCACATGGCAGGCACCGGTTTGGGCAGCCAGGGAAGACACAGTGTGGGTGGGGAGCATGGGCATTTGGGAATGAGCGTAGGTGTGTGTCCTCTTCCGTTTGCTCTCCGCAGGGGCCTGGTGCTACCTCCCAGTCCCAGCCTTGCCGAGCATGGGCTGCAAGCCCCTCATGCCCTTGTTTTGGCTCCAGAGGCCCACAGAGGCTCAGCTGTGGGGATGGAGATGTTCTCTCACTGAGCTAAAGCCAAGGAGCCCCAGTTGCAGCCTGCCTTCTTAGTTAATTAAACATTCAGCCCGCGTGCCCAGAGATGCTTTTATGCTACATTATTTTTCAGCTACAGGGGGCCCTAAAGACATCAAATCTAGGCTGGATCTATGTGCCCTCCTCTTAGCATCCTGCCAAGGATGTCTCTGGATGCTCAGAGAGGAGCACTTGCCTTCCCTGCAGCCCTGCCCTCCCCTGCCAGTCGGCGGTACATGCCCCAAAGCCCAAGCGGCCCACAAAGCATCCCCACTCTCTCCCCTCGGTCCTCCCAAGTTGCTAGGCCACAGCAGGCTCACTTGGGCAATGTTTCATATGGTACCACCTGCAGCCACCTTTTGTGGCTCAGGAATGATGCCTTACAGGAGGGTAGGGACGGAGCCAATATTTGTGCACACGTGACTGCCAGCATGTGTGTGTGTGCGCACACGTGCAACAGTGGACATGTTAGTGTGTGTATATTTGTTGCATGGACATGCATATAGTAAGTACCAATGAGTACATGCATGCATCCTCATGCACAAAGGGCTCTGCACATGTGTGTGTGTGTGTGTCTGGTGTGTTCTGCTCTTAGCTCAGTGTTTGAAAAATTCATCAGAAGGCCAGCAGTCCCAGAAGGAATGGGGTCAGCAGGTGTTTCCAGTTCCTTGGAGCATCATGGGTTTTTGCCCCTTCCTGCCCACAAGCCCATGGCCCCCCAGAGAGATGCGGGGTGGGAGGGACTTCTAATTGATCCCCAGGGTCTAGTGCCCTGTCCCACCTCCACCTTGCCCTTTACTATCCCCTGGCTCTCTGCTCTGGTCCCCTGAGTGGGATGCAGGTCCCAGCCAGGTGATGGTATTGGGCTCAGCAGCGCTGCCTCTGGACCTGGCCCGCCTCGCCCAGAGTCAGGGCCCCGGTCCACGCCCAGGGGCACCTCCTCCACCCTCCTCCTTGAGTAGCTCTTGGAACAGCACATCAGCTAATCAAGCCGTGTGCTCATAATCAGCTCTGATGGGTTCTTCTGCAAAAGTGCATTCTAATGAGGTGGGGAGAGGGAGTCAGGGAGTGGGAGGAGGGAGGACCTGAGCTTTCCAAGTGGCAGGGGCAGGGGGTCCCAGAGACCCGCACACAAATGCTGCTTCTCGGTCTGGAGAGAAAACAAGCTACCACCATCCTTGTAGGGCTGGATCTTCAGACCCTGAGGGCGGGGAAGAGGGAATGTGGGCACACATGCCCTGTACCCCATTTACATGCATGGCGTCTGATGGATGCCAGGCTTTGTGCTGGGTGTGGGAGCCACGCGTGCCTGGTGCATGGGCTCTGCCCTCTAGATCACACACACACACACACACACACACACTCTCCCGCTTTCCTCTTGTCGTTTAACACAATCACAACAGGCCCAGAGAGTCGCTGAGACGGAATGCATCAGATTCAATTCATTAGGACTGATCGCTCCCTGAATGGGGTTGAATAATTGATGAGCAGAAGTAGCTTTCAGAATGTTCTGCGTACTCCGAGGCTTGCCGGAGCCCTGTTATTTATTTATTTTTTTTAAGCCAACAAACCCGGCCAAATGTTCACTGGTGCGGGCGGGCAAAATGAGTGGAGTAAAGGTTAGATGTTTTAATACGTGATGTTTACAACGTAAACTCCTGGTCCGCTGCTTGTAATGGAAATGGATACGGCAGCCCTTGACGCTGGGAGGGGGTAGGCAGGCGCTGCCTGCTTCTACCGCCACCAAGCTGAGGATGTGGCCTGGGGGTTGTGAGGCTCCTGCCGGCCCACGGCTCCAAGCGGGACAGAGGCCTGCGGCTAAGGAGGGGCCAGGGTGCCCCTCAGCCTAGCTAGGGTGTAGCAGCAGGAGTCAGGGAGGCTGACGCCGTTCGGGTCTCCTGTCACCTGCGCAGGCTTGAGATGGCCACGGCCCACCGTGGTCGGGGCTCAAAGCGAGGCCTCCCAGCAAACCACTGCAACCCAGACTACTGTCTCAGTTTCAGCTCCAGAAACACTCACCGTCTGGCACTGTAACAGGTGGTGGGTGCATAAGGATGCATGTGACATGTGCAGCAAGGGAGGGAAGTACCCACCCCGCCTTTTGCTGCTACTGTTCAGTTTCCTGGCTGTCCACCAGACACTTCCAGCTGCACCTGCATTACCACCACATGCTTGAAGGGGCCATAACCCAAAGCGGGCTCTGTCTCCCCACATTCTTCCTTCTCCTAGACTTCCCTCTTTCTGTCCACAGAGCTGCTCTTGGATCTTGCTTCAGGCACCTGGGACCCACTGGGGCCTTCCCCTGTGCCAGGGCCCCTTCATAGGCCTGGGACCGCCCTGCCCCCCACGTTTCTTCCTGCCTATGGGCCCCTCCCCACCCCGGGGTCCCGGGGATATGGAGAGGACCTCCCCTCCTTGCTGCCCTGGTGACAGGGGCTCTCAGCCTTCTCAGGGACTCCAGCTCTCTTCCTGACTCCCTCTCAGGGGGTCCCCAAGGCCTCTTCCGTTATTCCTGAGGTGGAGCGTGGAGAAAGCTTCCTCCTCCCAGCCCGGCCTTCCCCCAGCTGTGGGTTAGAGCCCAGGGCCCGGAGGTAGACAGGCCCGGGAAACATTCTGCTTCCAGATGACAATTTCCTGACTTCTTTGTGCCTCAGTCTTTTCCGCCTTGGAAATTGGGGATGAAATGGTACCTGCCCGAGGTAAGGGGGCAGTGCTGGTGTTTAATGAGACAGAGCGTGTTGAGCAGCCGGTCACAGCGACTGGTGTGTGGTGGGCCTGCCACAGCTGTATCCATCTTATTATGACAACGACTGTGGTCTGGTGCTAGAGACCAGCATGGTGGCTGGAGACCAAGCCTTCCTTCCTCCCTCGTGGAGCCCCAGGCTGGCATCTCCACACTCCCAGAGCCTCAGGCTCTCCCAGGGCTTGAACCCACTCGGACCCTTACCCATTACGGCCATTAGTGACCTCCCACCCCAGCTGCCTGGCTTTGCCTGACCCCTCCTCAGCCAGGCCTGACAGGCCCCCCCTCCTTATCCTGCTCTGGAGCAACCAGGCCATCCTGCTTCCACTCACCACCTGGAAAGTCTCCAGGCCTGGCAGTTCCAAAGAATGTATTTGGGACGGAGCTTGGCACACCCACGCAGCCCCAGAACCAAGGGGTCAGCCGTCATTGCTCACACATTCATTGAGTGCCTTAGTTCTACTCATGCGTTCATTGAATCTGCAGGCATTTAGCGAATGGCTACTATGGGCCAGGCACTGTGCTAAGTCCCCCTGCACAAAACACACACCCGGCCCAGGTGAGCGTGAAGGGCCTGGGCCGAGGTTTTGTTAGGCAGTGCTCTATAGGCCTCAAATAACATGAGCAGGCGTAGGGACAGGAGTCAGACACCTACTACCTGCTCCCTCCAGCCAGCCTCCTGCTGCTTCTGCCCCCGGGCTCCTGCCTCTCGCCCCGTCTTGGTGGTCTCTGCTGGGCCCCTGCTGATGTCACGTGGTTCCCTCCTGACTGATACGGCCCACCATCTCTGACCCGGGCTCTTGCCCAGAAGGGGACCTTTGTGCATCGCCGGCCCCTCCTGCCTCACAGGTCAGGGCCACATTGTCCTGCGTCCCACCGAGGGACCCTGCATGCAGAGGTACTCGTCCCCCTGCCCCCTTTCTCCCACACACCCGCTCAGGACCCTCTTCCTTGGCCTGCCACTCCTTCAGGCCTGGCTGCTTCTGCGTGAGCCGTCGGCGGGGGAGAGAGCCCCGGTGGGCTCTGGCTCCGGGGGAGGCCTACCTTTGACAGCCACGTGGACGCTCTGGCTGATGGACAGCTGGGGCTGGATGAGGACGCTGCACAGGTACTCCCCCTCATCCATGCCCTTCTGCACGTCGGTCAGCTTCAGCGTCCCGTTCTCGAACACCACCTGCCGGTGGTTGTCGGGCAGCAGCAGGGCGTCCTTATACCACTTGATGGAGTAGTAGGGGTAGCCGATGACCCTGCAATTGATGAGGGTGTCCCGCCCGGCGACGGCGGTGATGTTCCTCATCGCCCGGATGCTGGGGGGGCCTGGGCGGGAGTCAGGAGGGAGGAGGAGCAGAGGAGGGACAAGCCATGCGGTTAGCCAGGGACAGCCAGGAGCTGCCCTGCGACTCTCTTCTCCGTTGCTTGGCTCTGAAACTCTCAGGGGATGGAAATTCAGTGGGGCGGCGGTGGGGGGGTGGGGAAGCCTGTATTGCAAGGCTGAGGCTGAAGCTGCGAGCACCCGTGGTCTCTCCGGGACTCCCTGTTACTAGCTTCAGATGGTTGCAAACAGATATGTTCCATTCATGCCTGGGGCAAGAATCCATCCCCCTAATGGGATGGGGAATGTGAGCCCACTGAAGCCTCATAAGAAGTGACTGGGATTTGGGAGGGCAAGTTCTCATTTACAAGGAGATTAAGTTTTGCGGGTCACAACAGCAACGTGGAGATTTTGTTATTTTCATTCAACTTGTGCATAATGGTCTTCTACCAAAAAGGATCTCGTATATATTAAATATTTAAAAGGCCGTAGGAAGGTCTTCACTGGATGAGCTGATAATTTTCTTCCAAACAGGTTAAGTGCGTTTTGTGGTTCCTTGAGAAGGGGCCCTAAAAGGGGGACCCTGGTCACCCTGGCTGTGAGGAGGGGGTACCTTCAGCTGGGTGGCTAGGCAGGTGGCAATGTGGGCATGGTAAAGGGGACTCAGAAGCCACCAGGCAGGGAGCTGGAGTGGGTATAGGAAACTCCAGGCTTCAGGTTCCCCACCCAGGAGGTGAGGGGCCGAACCAGGGGATCCCAGGACCCTGTAAGTCTGACCCTTCCAATTTGAAGGCAGCAAGGTAGCTAAACGGGAGGCCACCTTTCTCATGTGGGGTCGGAGACCTGGCTCCATGGCAGCCACAAGTGCCCTTCCCCCACTCCTCCCCCTCTGCCCTTGGGTCAGGGGTCACTGGAGGGACCAGATGAGGACCAGTCGGACCTGACAGGGCTGCTAAGAGCTTCAGAGGAGGCTCTTCTCACTGCAGTGACTTAGAGAGCTGAGATCTGGGGATGATCACCTGAGGACTGCTTCCCCCACTCCTGGGGGTGTCTGCTTTGGGACACCCCCGCCCAGCCCGAGCCTCCCATTCTTGATGGCTTGGGCCTTGGGAGGGAGGAAATTGGGGGAAGATTGTGCCCTGGCTCCTGGCTGCTTATACCTCCCGGAGTGATTTGGGGATGGCTCAGTGGGAGGACACTGGGAGCACAGCTTTGGTGGACACCCCCATCGAAGGCCAAGTCTGGCCCCACTGCCCCATTCCTGTCCTTGTCCTCACAAGGCCCTGGTAGGGCTGGTGGTTGCTAGTGGGGTGCTGAGTGTACCTGGGGCCAGAGAGATTTGATGGGGAGGAATGAGGGGGCAGGTCAGACTGGGAGAGGAGAAGGGGCAGGAGGAGGGGATGAGAATGCATAGGAGGGCACACTGTACCAGACACGCACGCACAAGAAAGGGTGACGGGTTTGTGGAGGGCAGGGAAAAGGGGAGAAAGAGAGGAGAGAGACCGCTACTAAAAGCAAAATGACAGTTAATAATAAGTACTAATCACCACAAGAATAATGGGAACCACAGAGATGGCAAAGGAACTCAAAAGCCTATTCTGATATTTAAATGTAGACAGGCACCTCTTACGTTTATTCGCGCCTGATATTCAGCACTGCCCACCGAGTTCCGCGCCGTGCATCGGTATACGCCCCCGTCGCGGATCTGGGGGCCCGTGACGTTCATGTGGCTGATGGTGGTGCCGTCCGACATGGTGTACTGGTTGGTGCGGTGGCTCCCATCCCGCACGATGGGCTCGTCGTCCAGGGCCCAGGTGACAGTGGGGGGCGGGGCGCCCTTGGCCGCACACATCAGCGAGAACTGCTCCCCAGGGTTGACCACCTTCTCGCTGAAGGACGAGACGATGCGGGGCGTGCCATCTGCAGGGAGCGAGGAGTCCCCCTCAGGGTCACCGAGCCACGGAGAGACTGCCCGGCCAGGCCACCCCACCCTGTGAGGTACCCATTATTATTGCACAGGATTTCTAACTCCTGGATTTGAATCCTCCCGCGGCCCCTTATGAGCTCTGTGTCTTTGGGCAAGTTACCTAACTTCTCTGAGTCTTCCCATTCCTTAACTATGGAGGATAGTGAATACACCCTCTCCATACCGATGCTGTGAGGATGAAATGAATAACTGCATTAAAGATGCTTTGCTCAACGCTTTGTAAGTGCCTGATAAATGTCAGCTCCTGTCGACTTTTCCTTTTCTGCCTTTCTCCTCCCTGTGTTAGTAAAGACATAGGTCCTGGAAGCAGGACCTGATTGGGCTGGACCCGCGGAGTCCGATTCCAGCTCTCATTCCTGCAGGTGGGGGTCGGGGTGCTGTAGCCCTGTTAGCAAAAAGCCTCAAGTTTGAGGCTTAGCTGCCGCCCAGAGGCACTGGTGTGTGTGTGGCCGTAACTTAAGGCTCTGCTGACCCAATAACCCTGGACAGGACAATTAACCCCGCTGCCCCACCTTCCTCCATGGAAGAGGGGGCGTGTAATTATTGAGCCTGGCCATCCTTCCCCACAGGATTGTTGTAAAGGGTTAAAGTACGTGTTATGCACTTTAACAAGTAAAAACTAAGACAAACAACAAAAAAAGTAAGGCCAATGTAACATGGCTCTCTACATCCCACCCATATTTCACACCAAAATGCTGATGTCAATCCAGTCTGCCAGCCCCTAGCCCCATTTCTGGGAGGGGAACTCTTACCTAAAACCAGGGGAGAGCCAGGTGCCTGGAAGAGCCTGGGACTGCCCACCAGGTTTGGCCCCTCTTCTGCTTCCTTCCCTGAACCCTCCTTTCTGGCTGTCCCTCCTTTCCCACTCTCTGTCCTTCCCGCCAGCCTCATTTCCCATATCCCTGCTCTGAACTGGCCATTGACAGGCTGTCCTCTCAGAGAGGAGATGCGCTGTGTGGGGAGTTGGTCAGACAGGAAGTCCCCAGAGAGGTAAGGCTCCCATTTCAAACTGGTCTGTGCCTGGCTGGTGTGCTTCCTCACTGGGAAGAGGATCTGCCTGGACAAGAGGAGGCAGGGGCTGAGGGAGGGGCCGTTCACTGGGCCCTGTACTTAGGGTGAGGGCTAAGGCGATGCCCACTCCCATGTCCCACCTCCCAAGGAATGAGGACCCACAGGCCGTGACAGGTAGACCCATGTGGGATCCTGATAACCTGTAGGACTTGCCTGGGTTTGGTGTCTTTGTTACGACAGTGAAAAATCCTTGGAAGCAATAGGATTGTGGGGTTTTTGTTTTGTTTTGGTAGCAACAAAGGAGCTGGGGGACCACTAAATTTGTTGGTAGGGGTAGGGCCTCGGCTAATCCTCACTGTATCCTTGTGCAAATAAGAAAAAGAGGACTCCTCTGTGTGGTCACAACCTGGGGCCAGGGATCATGGCCTGACAAGTGGAATTCAAGCTGGATTTCAGTCCTTACTCTTGGTCCTGCCCTGTGGGTTAGGCACTTTGTGCAGTGAACAACCTGAACAACCATATACAGATGTGCTGGGTGAGGAGCCCTGGGCGGTAGCAGCTTTAAAAGGAGAGAGAAGCATGTGAAAACCCAGGTCTGTGATAAGAAACAGAGCCTGCTGTGAAGAGACCTTAGTCAGGGAGAAGATTCGAAAGTCCATGAGACTGGAGGGAAGGACAGAGAATGGGGAGAGAGGGACAGCTGGAAAGAGAGGGCTCAGGGAAGAAGGCAGAGGCGGGGCTCAAGGCAGTGATTCCTGGTGGGCAGTCCCAGGGCCCCTGTGAGATTGAAAACCTCTGGGATCCTAAAGAAGACCTCTTTCGTAGGGAGGTTCTAGTAATTTTGGAGGGCAGAGGCAAGATAGCACGGTGGTTAAGAGACCTGAGTTCCAATCCCAACTCTGACTTTTGGCTGAGCTGTGTGACCTCAGGCAAGTGACCGAGCCTCAGTTTTCCCCACTGCAAAATAGGGAACATGAAAGAAAAAGCATCTCCTCACAGGGCCCATGGAAGGACTGACTAAGGAGGCACGCGCCTGGACCGGTGCCTGCTCTCAGCCTAAACCCACCCTGGTGCCGGCCGCCCCAGCTCACCCTCCAGCACAATGATGGCGAAGTCCTGCGCGGTCTGGGCCTTGCGGGTGGCAAAGCATTGGTAGGCCCCGGAGTGGCTCTTCTGGGCTGAGGTGATGAGCAGAGTCTCGTTGCTGAGCCCGCGGATGGAGACAGCCTCGTCGGGCAGCACCAGCTCAGTGTTGCGATACCAGCGGATGGTGAATTCCGGGGAGCCCAGCAGGGCACAGGAAAGGATGACTGTGCTGCCGATCCCGGTCTTCAGCTTCTTTGGTGTCAGGGTCACGTGAAGGGGGTCTGGGCCAGGCCAGCAGGGAAGGAGCGAGGGGAAAGGCAGAGGGGAGGAAAACAAAAGAAAAGGGCTTTTACCGTGGAGCAGTGTGGCTGGGGGTGGGCTGGGGGAGGCCCTGGTTCTGTCTCCAGACTCCTTGTGAGGGGGACTGGGACTAGTGAATTCCCTCTCTAGACCTCAGTTTACTCATCTGGCAAATGGCAGGGTCAGGACTCTTGTTATGACGGCCTACACTTTCTTGACGGGTGGCCCTTGCCCGGTGGGCCTGGGGAGCTCCCTTCAGCTCAGAAGGAGGACAGGAGCTTGGCTGGCTCATCCGTCCCTGTTCCCCACCCCGGAAAACAGGAAGGCACCCTTGGCCCCACCACCCATCTCTCATACCCATAGAGATAACCAGTTGCTATCTTCTGCCGCTCTGACGGCCTTTATATGCACCAGATGATTCTGCTCTTCATCCGCACCTCCCCTGCCCTGCTGCAGGCCCTCAGCTCTCAGCCTGGACCCAGGCAGTACCATCCTCCCTCCATGCTGTGGCTGGCCACTGCCCTGCTCAAAACTTCCATGGTGCCCAACAACTCGGTGTCGGGCGGGCTGGCCACCTCTCTCCCCAGATCTCCATGGGCTTGGGGTTCTCTAGAGGAGGCTGAGGCCTGCAGGGGCCTAGGACCCCAGCAAGGTCGCCCGGAGGAGGGGGGACGGCAGCCTGGCTGAGTGGGGCACAGTCAAAGCATGCAGGAGTCTGCTCATGCCGGGCTCCCCCGCGCTCTCCCAGAGTCCCTGCCCAGGAAATGTCAGTGCACAATGAGGCAGGTGTCATCCTGCTTGTCCCAGTCACCCACGGGGCTCCCAGGGCTCTGCCAGCTAGCTGTTCTCACCTTGCTGCCCCGCACGACTTGGTGACCTTGGGCAGGAGGCTTGGTGGCAGAACGGGGGTGTATGTGAAAAGCATGGTTTCCTCTCTGTGCACCTGGCAGAGAGGGGCTGGCAGAGAGAGTGGAAGGCAGAGAAAAGCTACGTCACTTCCCCTTGAACCTGGTTGTCCAGCCAAAGCCAGTATGGGGGGAAGGTGCGGAGCTGAGGGTCAGAGGGGCATCAGGTGTACCTACGCCTACGGGGCAGTGGGGGTGTGCACGCGCCGTGGGCGGTTGGTTACTTGTGGATCCGTGTGCGTGTGCCTGGATGTGAGCATGTTAAGGTGGAGGAATGTGTGTATCTGTGTGTATGGGCACCGTACGTGTGTGCATGTGCGTATGGAGAAGTGGGCATGTGACCTTTCAGCACATCTGCGTGTGTGTGTGTGTGTGTGTGTAATGTGTGTGCAGCGGGGGCGGCGGGGGGTGGGGGGAAGGCATACCCGACTGAACGATTGTGGATGGTACTTAGGGCAAGGAGGGGGGTATCAGTGCTGGTCTTTCCACCCGCCTGCCCTGCTGGCTGGGGTTCATTAGTCTGTGAGGAGCCCCCATCCCCTGGGCTCTCAGCATTTTAACCTAAGCATCTGTATCATGCACTGTCACTCCCAGAGTGGTTCTTGGGGCTCTTTCCGCTCTTCCAGCTTCACATGTGTTCACGTGGGGAGGATTTCTTCCTAGCACCGCAGATAAATGTACCCCAACTGTCAAGATGCCCTTGACCATGTGGAGGAGACTCACATCTGGGCCACGGGGGACAAGACCCCGGGCCCAGGAGGCCAGCTGAGCTGGGAGAACACGGAGGGTCTGCAGACCTGTAGCTCTATGCTCTTGAGACAGGAGGGGAGGGGGGAGGAGGGCTGCTCTGGTCAATTGTTATGGTGGAGGGAACTTCTCTGCAGCAGGGGGGCTGAATCACCACTGGACAGCCTCCTCCCACCGCCCAGGTTCAGTGACCCTTAAGATGCCATTCGGTACAACATCCAATGGGGCCTCAGGCCATGTAGCTGCTCCATGGGAGTGGGATTCCCCACAGGTCTCCAAATCCCAGCCCCACTGCTGTCAGCGCCCTCCCTCCGCCCTGGGGGCTCAGCAGCAGGAGGGTCTGAGAAGGCCGCTCACTCCAGACGGGCTCGCTGGACCCCTGGAGCCCCAGGACTCCGGGCTCAGGGAGGAACAGGCAGGATCAGCGCTGATACCCGGCCGGCAGATCCTGGAAAGGCTTCCTTGTCATTTATGCCCGAGTCTGATCTGATTGATCAGTGCCCCTATCGATTATTGTGAAATATTCTGAGTATCGCCTCTGATGGGATACAGTATGTCCTCTCTACTGGATTAACATCAGTACTGTTTCCTTTAGTGCAGACACTCCTCCCTCTCAACAAGCCAGGAAGCCCTGTGAGCTCGTCACCGTCACCCACCCTCATGGTCCCTTCTGACCCTCGTGACCTCAGGAGGCAGGAAGGCCTGGGATCACTATCCCATTTTACAGAAGAGGTCACACTGTGGTGCTCTCAAAGGTTCCTAGGCCTGGCAGAGGGACTCCCCACTCACCAATGACTGTGAGGGTACCCGTGGCCTCTGCAGAGCCGAAGGTGTTGGTGACCTCACAAATGTAGGTGCCACTGTCCTCCGTCCGCAGGTCACTGATGGTCAGCCCCGTGATGCGCTTGGTCCAGCGGCTGTCGGCTGGGAGGGGCCGGCCGTCCTTGAGCCAGCGGATGGCAGGGATGGGGTAGCCGGAGGCGGTGCAGGGCAGCTCCACGGTGTGGCCCGCCCACACTTCCTGGGAGTGGAAGCCATCCAGGATGGTGGGGATTGACTCGGCAGGGTCTGGAAGGCAGAGAGCATCAGTGGCTCTGGCCAGCCCGAGCAGGATGAAGGGGCAGGGGGCAGGGGGGGCGGGGAGGCAAGCATGAGAACAGGCACCTGCTGCCCATGGGCGCCCAGCATGAATGAAGCCCAGTGTGGGATGGCTTGTGGTGTCCCCTGGGCCCCAGACTCTGGGGCCCAAACTCTCCTACTCAGGCCAGATAGAGGCCCTGAGAGCCATGACCACGAAGCAGGGGCTTGGGGGAGGTAGGAGGAGGATATAGGGTGGGCAGGCAGACGGATGCAGATGCAACAAGGGAAACAGAGAGAGGACCAGAGAGGGAGAGAGTGTGTGAGAGCTCCCTTCACAGACACGGTGCCTGGAGTCTGGCCCAGACTCAGGACCAGGGACACCCTGTGACATGAGAGTCATGACTTCTTGAATCTGCGATTTTGGGCCTCAGACTGGCCGGGGTTGCCCTTCAGGATGGGGGAACCAGCTGTCCTGTCCTGTCTCCTCCCACCTGCGATCCTGGCAAACTCAGAGAGGGCCATGCGCTTCCATCTGCGCCCAGAAGGATTCAGAAGTTAAGCCTTCTGCAAACCACACCTGCCATCCTGAACAGTTCTCTATTTTACACTCCCAAGCAAGAGAAAGCAGTGCCTGCAGGCCCCGTGGCCCTGACCTGTGGAAGACCCAGGCGCCGGGCTGGTGGGATTCTGTGTGATGGCCCTGACGCTTCTGAGCGGTGCTCTGGCTACTCTCAGCCTAGTTCTTAGCCTCAAGGGCCTCCCTGAGTTTTCCGCCTTGGGGACCTCCTCTTGCTGTACCAGCTGCTCAGGCTTTCCTCTGCCTACATGATACAACCCCCACTTCTCCCCAGTTAGGCTGCTAGGAGATAGGGTCTGGTCCCAGCCAGGTCCCCGGCCCCGCCGGCCCCCTCCCTCCCTGCCCCCACCCCGGTCCGGGCAGTGGTTCCCCCCTTGTGATACACTGTGTCACCACACGCCCCTCCCCTGGGTGCCCAGCAGCCCGCTCCTCTCGGCCAACACCTCTTCATCTTTCCCAAACCAGCTTAAACGTCACCCCTTCCGGATGGAGCCCCCAGGCCCCTCTCATTAGATACTCATAGAGTTTTCTTGTTCTTCCATTTTATTTTCAAACAACCTTTTCTTTTTAATGAAAAAGTTAAAGTGTAATATACGCACATGGCAAAACTTCAGAGAGTCTAGAAGGGTGTCAGTGTGAGAGCGGGGTCTCCCTCATCCCTGCTCTCAGCCACCTCGTTTCCTTCCCCAGGGGCCACCACTGTCATGAGCCACCCAGGCACCCCTCCCCCAGAGCCCTTTTCAACAGCGGTTAGTATCAGGCCACAGATCTGTCTTCCCCAGAAGCCTGCCAGCATCTTGAGACAGGGTTGCCACATTGCTGGATCTCCCGTGCCCGCACAGAGCAGGCCTGGGGCTGCTGAACCACTGATGTCTGCGAGAGGCTGAATGGGGGCGCTCTGGTAGAGGGTGGGCCAGAGGTCTGACTTTCCACATTGCGGGCTTTTATAGGCTCCTGGACTCGTAGAGCTGGCTTAGAGGTCTTGGAGGCCACAGACAGAGGAGGACCCTGAGACCAGAGAGGTGCAGCGACCTGCCCAGGATCGCACTGCAGAGCCAAGATCACAAACCAGGTCTCGCCCACCCTTGTTCAGCAAACGGGGCCTGAGATGGAATAATCGAATACTGAGATCTGCTCAAGAGTGAATGGTGGGAGCGGCAGATGCCCCCTCTGGACCCTCCTTGACTAATGGCAAATTTCCCCCGTCCTTAGCTCATGTCCCTTGGAGCAGGGTTGGGCGAGGAATTCTCTGGGGGGGAGGGTAGAGACTTTCTAGAAGACTCTCTACTCCCTCCCCACCTTCTGTTGCTCTTCAGAAGGAGGCTGGGCTGAGAATCAGGAGAGCCAGGTGCTGGTCCAGCTGGGTCACAGGGAAACTGTGACCTTGGGTGAGTCTCATCATGTCTCAGAGCCCGAGGTTCATCCGCGGGGTGAAGGGGGATAGTGCTGCCTCCACATCCCATAAGGTTGTCGCAGGCAACAATGGCAAATTGTACATCCAAGGGCTTGACTGCGTGAAATCGCGAAGCAGATGTGCACCTGCCCTCCCTCCCCACCAGCTTCTGCGGCCTCTTCCCCATGCAGGGGATGGTTGGGATAAACAAACCTGGTGCCAGGGAAGAATTACTCAATGTGACACCTAATTGATGCAAAATACACAAATTCTGTGGCACACCGCAGAATTTACAAGCGGAGGGGCCGACGGGGCGGTGGAGGAAGGGGCAGGGGGAGGGAATTAATCACCAAGTCTCAGGCGTGAAATTAAATTCTGAGGGAAAGAAGCCTCTTTCATTACTCCAGAGCCGAAGTAAAATGCTGTGGTGTTTACGGTGACAGCCCGGGGGGATCGGGCGCTGCCGGGGCTGGCGCGGGGCTGGGGGAGCCAGACGGCGGAGCCCCAAGAAATCTCTGGGGGTGTCCGGGGCGCCCCGGGGAGGCTGCTGGGACCTCCCCCAGTCCGAGGAGCAGTGCTGCCCTGGAAAGGCGCCCTGAACATGGCTTCTGCATGTGGCTTAGCCCCCCACCAGCTGGGGAACCCTGGACTAGTCTGCCAGCCTCTCTGGTCACTGGTCTTGTCTTTATAAATGCAGATGGTAATGCCTGTTCCATGGAGTTAATGGAAGCTCTTGGTAAACTCTACAAAGCACCTACATGCACGGAAGGGCTGTTTTGGGGGTTGGATTTTAGGGAGCTCAGGCTCCTCTTGCAACTGCCTCCTTCACCTTAGACAACGCAGAAAGATGCGAGTTGCTCTCCTCCCCCCCACCCCCGACAGACGCTCTTTGGAAGAGACTGGAAACAATAATGCAGCAACAACAGATCAACAACAAGAGAGCCATCACCACTACACCGCAGCTACTCTCCTGGGCGCTTCCTACGTGGCAGACGCTGTGCTAAGCTTTTTCCAGCTGGTACCCATTGCTCCCAATGACCCTGGGGCGGGGTTATGTCTTGTCGCTCCCATTTTACAGATGAGGAAGCTGAGGTTTGAGACACTCCTCATTCTCTGCCACCTTGCGCAGCTAGCGAGGGGTGAGGCTAAGCCTGCACCTTGGGCTGGATTCAGGGTCCTTTACCCACCACGCCTCCTGTGCCCACCTTCCTCTCTCAAATGCTCTGTGAGGACCGAAGAACCCACAGGTGTGGTGGCTGCCCTCGCCAGATGACCATCAAGGACACACTGCCACGTGCATCCTTTCGCTCCTTCCTTTTGCCTTTGGGCCTGGGGCATCAGGGGCTGCCATCCTTCTGGGTGTGCAGACACCTCAGCCACCAGGTAGGGGTGGCTCGGCAGGGGTTCCCCAGCCGCCATCTTTCCGTCTGCTGGCCCGGAGCTTCGGGCCACCCTTCCCAGCCGCCAGCCTGGGAGCCCTCGGGGGTGCCGGCCACGAGAGAGAGTGAACCTTCTCAGCGGAAAGCACGGCCAGCCTCTCTTGTTCAGGACTGACTGAGCCCCGCCCACCCACCTCAAGCTGGAGGGGATGTGCAGTGTATGGGGCTGAGCTCCCTGACGTGCCCCCCTCGCGCCCCCTCTGCACTGCCTTGCTCCAGTATCACTTGCATTTTTGCCGAGACAAGCAGCTTGCAGATGGCCTTGTCACATCACATCACATCAGGGCCGTGTCACTGGCGGAGCCCCTTCCCCTTGGCTCCCTGTGTTCCCTTCCCTCCAGGTCCCTCCTGCCCCTTTCGGTTCCTGTTCACTCTGGTCCTCCCCTCTGCCTTTGTCTTTCTGTGCCCCCTCTGCCTTTGTCTCTCTGTGCGGGTTTTCTCCTGTTCTGTTTCCTCCCTGTCCTCTGTCTCTCTCTGCCTGCGCCTCTCCCCTTCTGTCTGTCTGGGCTGCCTCCCTATCTTTACCTCTGTCTCTCTGTTTGGGCTTTATCTCTGGTAGCATCTCTCATCCTCTTCTTAGCCCACCCACCCTTCTCCTCACAGCTGGTGGGGAATGGAGACCAGAAGGAGAATGGTTGGCATACCCTCCAGTTTAAAGCGTGTCTTTTTTGAGAGACACCTGCCAATTCGCCCCACAAAAGTGGAGGTGAGATTGGCAGGATGAGGGGGCTAAATATTTGTGCGGGAGAAAGAAGCAGGCCCGCGGGAGGGGGGATTTTTGCACTGTTCCCCTGTTTTAGGAGAAGCATGCAGATGAGATGCAAAACAGCATATGCAAACAAGTCCCCATGCTTTGGAAGGGAACCACTCCTACACATTTGGGAATTGGGCTGCAGATTCCAAAGTCTAGCTACAAAGAAAGGGGCTCTTACTGCGGCCACCAGGACAGTTTCCCTTGGCATTGGTTAGGTCTACAAATATTTACTTAGCACCTACTATGTGTCAGGCACAGGGCCTGGTGCTGGGGACACAAAGGAGAATCAGAGAGCCCTGTCCTTGCCCTCCTGGCTCCTGCTCTTCAAATGTGCCGGGCAAATGAGAGAGGGTCTGGGATAGAGTTAATCTGAGGGTCAGGGTAGTCCTCACCAACCCCCAGAAGGCCAGAGTTAGACAGAATCAGAGCGGTCATCTAGTCGAGCTACTTTTCCAGAGGCCCAGAGAGGTCGTGCGATTGGGTGAGTCTAGTCTCCGAAACCACCGTGTTATCGTTCACCCTCCTTCTACAACCCACTCCAATCCCACCTCCTCAACAGCAAGATTTTCAAATTGTAGGTCACAAACTGTTAGGAATTTGTGAAATCCATTTGGTGAGTTGCGACCAGCATTTGGATAAATCAAAATCGGATAGAATAGAATAGGAAATAGCAGAGTGCATTTAAATGCATGTGGTAGGAACGACCAGTATGCCTTGCACAGGTTATGATAAAAATGTCTATCTGTGGATTGCTGTCAAGAGTTTAAAAAAGCACTGTTTCCAGAAAGGCACTATTCCTTGAGGAGTCCCCTGTGCCCTCCTTTACTCTGTGACTAGGGCATGTGGGGGCTGTTCAGATGACCCCTTCCATGGGGAGGGGGGTGGTATGCTGGGTGCAGAGGGTATGTCCTGGCTTTGCCTCCCACTGGTTAAACAGTTGGGGCGAGTTGCTTGGCCTCCCTAAGATCTGGGTTTCTCGTCTGTAAAACAGAACAGCGTCCACCTCACAAGGCTATATGGTGCTTAACAGATAAGTGAAATCTGACATGCAGGGGACTCAATAAACATTAGCTTCCATTCCTCCTAAAAAGTGATAATCACTCCAGATTAAGAATCTTTTATTTAATTTACAAATATTGTTGTTTATAGATTATATCCTGCCTACTCTCAAGCTACAACAGAAGAAACACATGCGCTCATAAATAGGTCAAATCGAATCCTGGAAAATACTTAGAGACATGAAGGAACAAAACTGTCCCATATCTAATTTAATCTAACCTCATCGTTACTATGTTTAAACATCAGGTTTTATTTATGAGCTTCCTGGTGGCAAAGGCAAAAAAGGGAAAGAGAGGATGGATTGCATTAACCCCCATTATCACTTCTTCAGGAGAGTTAGCTTCCTTAGGTGCAGACTCTGAGGTCCCTATATGAAGGGCACTCCAAACCAAACTGGACGTGTTCTGCCCCGCTGGGCCCTGTATTTCTCTTTGTTAATCTCCTTCTCTGGCCTAGGTACACAGCAGTCTCCCGGATCCATGGCACGGGACACGCCCATCCCAGGGGTGGGCTAGTGCCCTCCTCAGCCCTGTCGCCTACCTGTTACGGAGAGGCGGGCCCCATTGCTCTGCCGGGTCTCCCCACTATACTTGTGCTTGGTGATGCAGCGGTAGGTGGAGAGGGCATCCTCCTTCTGCACGTCAGAGATGTACAGCCCGCCGTGGTGAGTAATAAAAAACCTGTTTTCTGGAGACACAATCAAGACATACTGCATTACTCCCCTGGCTGGGCACACCACCAGAAGCAAGTCAGGCCGGCAGCCGGCCTTTCTCCCAAAGCTGTTACTCCTTGAAGTGTAGGGGCTTCAGAGTTTTACAGAACGATGGCAGGCTGTAGAGTCAGACCGAGATCTGGGTTCCAAAGTGACTCGTCCACTTAGTAGCTGTGTGATCTTGGGAAAGTTACTTAACTTCTCTGAGCCTTATCTATACAATGGGGTGCAAATAATACAACACAGGGTGGACGTAAGGACTGAAAATAATAATAAAGTGTCTGGCGCACAGCAAGTGCTCACTTAGTAAGTATCAGTCCTCATCTTTCCTATCTCTGGGCGAGAGCTTGCAAAGTTCTTTCACATTCCACGCGCATTTGTTCTTACAGCCATTTGAAGTGTCCTCTCCAACGTCAGGTCACACGACCAGTAAGCAGACCAGAACTCAGGCCTTCTGGCTCCCAGCTCTCCCTTTGTATGGAGCCAAATACAAACCTAAATCATTTTCTCTTAGTTTTAATCATATATTCACTCAACCAACAGTTGCCGAGGTTAAGCTATACGAGTAGCAGGGACACGGAGAGGCAGATACACAATACTAATTCAACGCACAGTTCTTGAACGCTCATTCCGTGCAAGGCAAAGGTGCAGACACTGAGCTTTACTTTTCCTTGCCCCTCGACGGTCTTACTGTCAGGACTCGGCAGGGAAGCCAGAAGGACAGGGAGCAGGACACCCATTTTGCGGATTATGACATGTGACTCCACTTAGAGGTAGAGTGGATTTCCTTGTACAAGGTCCTAAGGCAAACCCTGAACTTGAGCCTAGTCAGGACTGATTCTAAAAGGGGAAAATATGGACTTGCCCGTTGGGGCGGGGCTTGCATTCAGCTTCAGACGCCGCTGTAAGCCCAAGGCAGTGCCCTCCCACCCAAGACCCAGCCAGACTGAGATTGAGATGCTAACTTTGGGTCCCTCTGCACGCTCTCTGGGGACTAGGCTGCTTCCCCCGGCAGGTATAGAAGACCCCAGGCTGCCATTTCCACCAGGAGTGGGCCCTGGAATCAAGATGGTGACAGTAACTTAAAAAAAGGAGCTGTACAGGAGAGGGTAATGCTGACTCCACCGGAGGGACCTGCTAACATCAGAATGCCAGGCTTTCATAAGGAAACCTTTTGCGTGGCCCCATGCTCTGCAAATCCTATTATTCAGAGGAGTTTTACAGAATGATGGCAGGCTGTAGAGTCAGACTGAGATCCCACCTGGGGGCTGATGACTCCCCTCAACCAATGACAAGAGCTCTGACACTGGATCACTCTCCTATTAGAAACATCCTGTGGTGTCCCACTGCCCCCAGCACAAGCCTCAGCACCAGGGGGCTGGGATCTCCCCAAATGACACTTCGTGACAAGGCATGCTATAGAATTGTAGGGTTGAAAAGCTGAACGTGCCTGACCACATTGTTGACAAAGGTTCTCCAGCCTTCCTTTGAATATCTCTGGGTTTGGGGAACTCACTACCTCATTCAATGGCCCACTCCAAAGCAGATAGCTCGAACTTTTAGAGAGATCTTCCTTGGTCACAATTGGTCTCCTGGTGGCTCCCTCCACGGGTCCTGGTTCTACTCCCTGGGGCCCTACAGAACTAGCCCGAACCTGCGTCACTAACACACTCCCTCACCAACTGGAAGAAGCTGTCACGCCCTTCAACTTTCTGTCAGGCTAAGCAGTCTAGAATTTTATTCTTTTTTTCAGATTTTATTTATTTATTTGACAGATAGAGAGCACAAGTAGGCAGAGTGGCAGGCAGAGGGAGAGGGAGAAGCAGGCTCTCCGCTGAGCAGGGAGCCGGATGCGGGGCTCGATCCCAGGACCCCAGGATCATGACCTGAGCCGAAGGCAGCCACTTAACCGACTGAGCCACCCAGGCGCCCCTAGAATTTTATTCTTTAATATTTATTTAATATGGTCACAAATAACTTCTTCAACATGGATGGTCTCTTGTTTCTTTTTTTTTTTTTTAAGATTTTATTTATTTATTTGACAGAGAGAGCGCACAAGCAGGGGGAGTGGCAGGCAGAGGGAGAGGGAGAAGCAGGCTCCCCGCTGAGCAGGGAGCCCAATGTGGGACTTGATCCCAGGACCCCGGGATCATGACCTGAGCCGAAGGCAGTCGCTTAACCAACTGAGCCACCCAGGAGCCCTGGTCTCTCATTTCTTAATGAACATTGGTTTATCTACAAATCTCTGAATTTCCCCTCCCTCCCTCCCATCCACCTTTGTATAGGACTAGACCTACTGGGTGCCAGCACTTTGCTAAGTGGTGGCGACCTAACAATCAGCCTTATGTGACCAGCACAGGATAGAGCGCGACTACCAACCCCCGGCCCAAGACGGTTCGTTTTTTACAGGACATGCAGTCGGAGTGGGAGGCAGCCCCATTACGCCCTGCCTCCCATTGAGCTCGCAGTCAACTAAGGCCTGGTCTGGTCACTTGCTGTCTCTCTATGCTTGGAGGCCAGACTGTGTGGGACTAGGTCTGGGACGTCACATGGCTCCCCGCTGAGCGGCCTATCACTGGGACACCCCCCCTCCCCCGAGGAACACTCATTCATCTGGCAGCCTGCCAATCCTCTGGACCCCAGCCACACCCCCTCCAGCGCCTAGATCGCACCTTGCAGACCCCCACTCAGTGCTAAAGGAAGCGGGAGGGAGCCCAGCCCTGCTGCCAGACGTCGGAGAGGACCCAGGGGAAGCGCAGAGAAAGCCTGGCTTCCCCACCAGACTCTGAATGTGCCGTTTTGTCTCCATGTTGTGACATCCCAAAGTCAAATGCGGAAGCTCTCCCGTGATTTATTATGTAACTGGGACTGGAATGCAGAACTACTGGAGGGTGTTACTGCCAATCAGTGGGGGGGGGTGAGGAGAAACAGGAGAGACCCCCAAATCCACCTCAGCAGCCTACAGGTGCTCCAGCCCCAGCAGCTTGGGCCCTGTGATCCTGCAGCCCCCAGCACCCCCGGGAAGATGGTGCACTTGGTCCTACTGGAATTTTAAGCTGGGAAGGGGTGCTGCTGGGATGGTGGTGGGGAGCTGGGGTTTCTATAGCAACAAGCAGCTGCTGCATCTGATGTTTCACATCCTTCATTGTCCTCATTTCCCCCCTTGCGTCCCCCCTTCTTGTGCATATTTAATTGCAGTAACATTTCCAGACACAGTATATCGCTGCTCCTGAAACAAAGGCTGGCCGCAGCCGGGGGGAGGCACAGCGCGCGCGCGCTTGAGAGAGAGAGAGAGAGAGGAAGGAGAAATCAGGGGTATTATGTTAATCCCCCCTGGGGGGGACTTGTGCAACATCAGTTGTGCATGTTTGATGAGAATCAGATGATGGGCCCTGATGGGGAAGGGAGTAGCAAGAGGCCGGTGGAGGCAGTGGCGTACGGTGTGTGTTGGGGGCACAACCAGCTGGGGGGTGCTTGGAGGGGCCAGGGCTCCACAGAACAGCTGACCTCCCAGACTGGCTCTGACGGGGTGGCCTAGCAGTCGGGCAGCCCCTACTCCACACCCCAAGTGGGACCAGCCATCCCTGAAATGGGTAGAGGAGCAGCTCTCCCTTATCCTGGTTCCTTCTTCGTGGGGTAGGCTCGGGCCAGCTGGAGGGGAGGACAGAGTGGCAGCCGTGACCTCCGTCCAGCCCCCATCCTGAGGTCGTTCGGAAATGTGTGTCTGGGATCACGTTGGTCGACACCAAGACTGGGAGGTACTAACGGCCTGAGGTGGCCAGGGGCCAGGAGTGCTGGACGTCTTGGGTCATAAATACTGTCCCACCCCAAATGTTAGTAGTGTCCGCTGCGGGTATACGCCGGAGGGTCGCTGCTTTCCCTTAGGCTCTAAGGCTGGGACACAGAACTGTGTTTAAATGTGGACTGCTTTGATGCAGTTTGACTGTCACCTGCCAAAGGCTGCAGCATCGTCTGTGAACTCGCCCGTGACCAGGGAAGCACTGTGTGTGGTTCCTTTTTTCTTTCTACTATTAATACAGATTCTCCACCCTGCTTTACCGTCCTTCTTCCTGGTGATCTGGAGTAGGCCTCTCCTTTTTTGTAAGCTAAATATTTATTGAGCACCTATTATACGTCAGGGCAAGGATTTTATAAACATTATCTTAGGAAATCTCCACACCCCTTTGAAATGGATACTACTGTTTTTACTAAGCAAGGCACAGAGAGGTTACATAACCCACCCATAGTCACACAGCTAGTGAATGGCGGAGTCCAGACCATCAGTCCACTTCCCGTGCTCTTCCAAAGCTCTGTGCTAGACTGACTCTCCTAGAATGGCAGCCCCTCTCATAGGGACATAGGGTCAGCCAGCCTCTGCTTGGTTGCTTCTGTCAGTGGGGTCCTCACTACCTTATAAAGGAGCACTCATCTATTCAATTCAGCTTGGCTTGCTTTATCGGCTTGGCTTTGTGGAACATCCCTGGGTCCTGGACTGGGCTCCTGGGCTCCATGGAGAGGTCTTGGACCTGGTCTCTGCCCTTTGGGATTCCACAGTTAGAAGACAATGTCCTTCCCCCAGGAAAGGTGCTAGCTTGCGGGCTGCTGAAGGGTGGGGAGGGGATTGGATAGAGGCCATTAGTGAGAAGAGGCAGATAAAGAGGGGCCAAGCCCAGGACTGGATTTTGGAGGCTGGATGGAGTCCTGGTGTTGCCACTAATGATGGGCTGTGTCCCGAGTTGAACAGTATCCCCCAAAATGAATGCCCACCCAGAGCTTGTGAATGGGACCTTATTGGAAACAAGATCTTTGCAAACATAATCAAGTTCAGATGAGGCCATACTGCATTAGTGTGGGCTCTAAATCCAGTATGACTGGTGTTCTGAGAACAGGGAGATTTGGACACAGGCGCATGAATACAGGGCGAAGGCCATGTGAAGACAGAGGCAGAGATTGGGGTGATGCATCTTTAAGGCAAAAAATGCAGGGATTGCCAGCCACCCCAG